CTCCCCTCTGGATCTCCCCTCCTCGTGAACCAAACACTCGTGAACAACACACCTATGTGGAGGCAAGTCCCTGGCATCCCACATAACTCTTAGGCTTTCTTTGGACTTTTTATTCTTTTTTTTTGATTGCTCTAGCATACAAGTATTGAGAGATTTCTTTATCTTCAGGTGAATTCAGGCTTCCATTACTTCAAACTGTTTCTTTGCCTTTAATGTATTGTCCATTGCTGAAATCTTAGTGTTAATTTTTTTGGATTTCTTATTGCTTCAAAATGTACATTTATTGTCGGTTTGTTCTTGTAGTGTTTACCTGAATGCTTCTAATGTTTTTTTCTGTGTTCTCTTTGCTTTCCTTGATTGTTTTGTCAGTGTTTTGAAGGTACATGAATAGTCTTCTGAAGAGTTTTCAGTTAGTTTCTGAAGAGTTTTTCAGTTAGTTCCATTAGAAATGTTTTCTGACTCAGCAGTTTGGTCATATATGTGAACCATTCTCTCTTGTTTCTTCCGTGTAAGCTAAAATTGTCTCTTGTCTCCAGGGAGTTGTAGGGTTGTCGGCTTTGTAGTTAATTGAGGGCTGTGTGCTGATGTGTTCGTAGACTCCCACCACGTGTCTCCTGTGGGCATAGTTCTCGTTCGCCGTTTCTGAACGGCGTTTGGCTGATGCTGGCTGCTGTCTATTCTTGATCAGGGGGTATGGAAGCTGGTATTGGTGCCTAGTGGTGGCACTGCAGAAGGCATTGTTGTGGCTGGGCTGTATGGGCGTGGCTACTGTCTCCTGTTAGATAGGAAAGAGAACCATCCCCCCCCCCACACACAAACATGCACACACAAGCAAACAAAAACAGAGTAAACAAGCAAGGAACAAAACCAACAATTAAAAAAGAAAATAAAGGAGAACAAAGAAATAAAAACAGGGAGCACCCAGAAAAAAAGAATATAATAAGTATAAAGACAAAAGAGGGACAGGGAAATGGAGCTATAGCAGAGAAGAATAAAAGGAAGAAAAAAAGGTAGCACTTTGGAATAGCTAAAGAGAGAAAAGAGGGACAGGAAAATGGAGCTATAGCAGAGAAAAATAAGAGGAAGAAAAAAAGGTAGCACTTTGGAATAGCTAAAGAGAGAAAAGAGGGACAGGAAAATGGAGCTATAGCAGAGAAAAATAAGAAAGGAAATCAAAGGAAGGGAAAAACAAAATACACTTAGAAAAACCAGCGAGGGAAGATGAAAAGAGAGAGAGAGAGAAAGTAATAAAGAAAGATTGAGAGGGGAAATGAGAAACAAAAGGAAAGATGGAAAACCAAAAGCCGAGATAGGAAGAAATTCAAGGGAATGGAAAAAGAAGCAGAAGGAGGAGAAAGAATAAACAAAGAAAAAACAAATGAGACCAAAAAAAAAAATCAAAAGAAAAAACAGTGCAGCTGATGGACCTGAAGAGAAGAAAACTCTGGGGGCCTCCTGCCAGTCAAGGAGTTCACGATGTGGGGGTATGGGGCGTGACCACAGTTCCTGGCTCTAGATGGAGTTCCTATCAGCCTCCGTGTTGTCTGTGTTCACGGCTGTCAATCCTGAGGTCGTTCGTGGTGGTCCTGATGAAACTGCTTTCGTTGTCTGTTAGGACCACAGGGCAGCTGGGGGCAGGGTGACTGGGCTGGTGCACTGTGGGTTCTGTAGGTCTGGAGCCAAGCCCACCTGAATCCAGGCACCAAATCAGCACGGCTGGCCCCTCCTCACACTGGGGTGGCTTTGAACTCTCTCAAGAGCAGGGTCTATGCTGGGGCTGGATGAGGGTAGGAGATGGTCTCCCCTCTGGTCACCAGGGGAGCGTGGGAAGAAAAGGAGTCACGCGTTTCCCATCACCTGTGTGAATCTGCTCGGCCAGACCAGGCCACCTTCTGTTGCCAAAACTACTCCCAAGATGGTCTCGCTGTGTCCGGCTGGCTGTCCGTCTCCCTCTCTCAGTGTCCCTGCTCAGCTTCTCCTTCCAGCAAGCATTCACTCTGCTTCTCTAACATTTCCTCTGAATTTCAGGGTTCTCAAAATTGCATGTGTGTTTCATTTGGTCTCTCATATCTTTGTTGTGGGGGGTCCATGCAGGGTGTCTGCCGGATGAGTTGCTAGAGTGGCACAGTTGTTAAACACTCAGCTGCTAACTGAGGGGTCAGCTATTCAAATCGACCAAGTGATCCACAGCAGATAGATGTGGCAGCCTTGGAAAACCCTTCGGGCAGTTCTACTCTTATCTTGTAGGGTTGCTGGAATCGATGTGATAGCAGTGGATAAGAGTTCTTTATTCTAGATACATTCCCCTAGTCAGAGACATGATTTACAGACATGGCCGCCCGTTCTATGGGTTGTCTCTTCTCTTTCTAAACAATATGCTTTGGAGCACAAACGTTTTTGGTTCAGGAAAGCCAGCGTATTCTGACTGCTGTAGGTTAAGACTGGGCTCTAAGGATCTGTCAGTTAGGAAGCAGGAGACCAGTGCCATGGTTCAGGTGAGAGAGACTTTCAACTTGGGCGCGGTCCCTTAGTTGGTGACTGGGCCAGTGGAAGGTGGGTTTGGAGACAGAACTGATGGAAGGAGGTGAAGGACTGTTGGGGGTGGGGGAAGGAGGACTCTAGGAGGGTGGGTTTCAGCTGGAACAACAATGTGATTCGGGCTGTGGTGATGCTTGTTCAGATCCCTGCTGGAGCTGGCACGCATTTGAAGCGGCTTTGCCTGATGTTATCTTTGGTTGCACTGCAGAGATGGCCCCAGGGACTCTGACCTCCTGATACCTCCTCCATCACTCTAGGTGCTCCCGGGAGGTGCAGACAGCTAAGTCCTCAACTACTGCCCAAAGTTTGGTGTTTCAAACCCACCCAGAGGCCCTTGGGAAGGCTGGCCTGATGGTCTCTTCTGGAAAGCCATTAGAAGTCATTGGAGTAGTTGTACTCTGCGCATATAGGGTCTCCATGAGTCCAGACAAACTGGCAACCACAGAACCACCCCAACTCATACATCATCTCATGGAAACAGAGCATGCCTACCTTGTGGACACAGTTTGGGGGCAAATCCCCCACTCCCCTTCTAACCAGAATGCAGTCTTCAGGTCCCTGCTGTGTAGAGTTCTGACTTTGGCCGTGGATAATCTCACATCAAGTGAATGGAGTTTGAAAGCAGAATGTCATTACTTGAGAGCTGCTGCGGGGAGGGGGGCTGAAGAGGAAGAAATGTCACCAGCTGACATTTGAGAAGAGTTCATCATTTCTTCTTGCTTCCTCTGCTCACTTCTGCAGAGACTGTAAGTGGGTGACGAGTGGGGGTGTGGGAGTGGCCATTCTAACTGGCCAGTCTGGAGGTCAAGGGGATCCTGAGGCTGCTGAGGGGACAGAAGCCAAATCACTAAGGGGAGGCCGAAGGGGTTGAGAAGGAGCAGGTTGGCCCAGTAGGAAAAGCGCTGTGGTGTTTGGGAAGTAGAGAAGAGGGGAGAGGAGTAGGCGGATACTTGGGCACAGGGAGGGGTGTCCTTAGGAAGTAAGCCAGGCAGACTGGCTAGAGAGGCTGGGAGGGACACGGGAACAAAGAGGAAGGCAGGGCTGACACCCTGTCTCTGGCTTGGGCAATACCACTCACAGCCACTTGCAGAAAATCTAAAGGTAGAGCGTCTGTGTCTTCGAGACATTGTTCATTTTGTCTGTGTCAACAGAGACCCGGAGAGGTTAAGGAATTTCCCAGGGTCTTGTTGGGGTTAGAATTTGAACTCAAGTCTTTGATTTTTGATGTTTGATGGAGGTATAATTGGGTAATGATATACACACAGAGATGAACTGTTCAGCTGTGTAACTCCACCGTAAGACAGGTCTAGAATATTTCTCTTCTCCAAGAGTTCCCTCTGCCCATTCTAGTTAGCCCTCTTCTGACTCCTGACAGATTAATTTTGCCTGTTTTTAAACTTAATATAAATGGAACCCTGGTGTGGCGCTCTACAGCGCAAGGTCATTTTGAACCACAAGGTCAGTGATTCAAACTCACCAGCCACTCCTTGAATATAGGATTGCTGTGAGTCGGAACCGACTTGACAAGCACTTCACAACCACCACCATACAGTCGTGACTCACGTGTCAGTGTAAGGTTTTTCACATACGCCATGTGGTTGTGTGTATCATTGTGATGAAGTTATGTAGAACAAACCATTTTCCGTTTCAACATATTTCGTGTGTACATGTCAGTGACTGAACTTCGGCTGTCCCTGCCTTTGTCTCCAGATGTTGGAGATTCCCCGAAGCGGTGACCTGGCCCCTCCCTCCCATGAATGAACTTTGGTCTCCGCACACCTACCTATCTAGGTAATTCATCCAAGTGGGATCCCACTTGAGGCGCAGATGCCAGGCTCTCTGAGCACCCAAGAGGCCTTGTGTAACACTGGGACCTGAGTTCTCCCTGCCTCAGTGGCACAGTGCGCAGCATCCACGTCTGGGATTGGTTCATGGTTCTCCTGGGACAGAACGTCCTTCCTGTTTCTTCCCCATGCTGTCCATCCTGGCAGGCTACCTGACTCAGATGTTCCTGACGAAGCCTTCTCCGCGCTGCATTAATCCACACTGATCTATCCCTCTCCTCATCCAAGCTCACAGGGCAGCTCCTCTGCCTGGTGGCTCTGTACCTCTGTGCTCACGTATCTCCTTTGCTTCTCTGTCGAGAACATAAGCTCCTTAGAGTAATGTTCTATATGTTTTACATTCTTTCCACCTCTCCTTAGAATTTGTCACAACATGTATTAGTGGGTCTAGTCCTTAGTAAAGTGTGTTTTGAATTAAAAATGCTCAGATATGATGGTAATGACATCTCACTGCTGAATTCAGCCCCAGCGGCATGTTCTTGCTATGGAATATGAGCATCATTTCTTTGGAGCACAGGTAGGTAGGTACTGGGAGGCTGACAGTGCCTGTTCATCAGCCCCCAGGTTTCCCTCGATGCTGGAGTTCCCTTTCCTGTCTGAAGATCATCGAGGGAAACCTTGACCATGGCTTCGCCTTCAGAGTCTGTGACGTTCAGAGAGTTCTGCCCTCTCTACTATCTCCTCAACGCCATTCCCACCAAGATCCAGAAGGGTTTCCGCTCTCTCGTGGTCTACCTCACAGCCCTCGATACCAACGGGGACTACATCGCCGTGGGCAGCAGCATCGGCATGCTCTACCTGTACTGTCGGCACGTCAACCAGATGAGGAAGTACAACTTCGAGGTGAGTCTTGCTTTTCTGTGTCTTCACATGCACAAGCCCTGGCTGATGTGTAACGTGCTTTACATGCTCTTGGACAGGGTTGTTAGTTTCTGATCTGCAAGAATGTGGCCTTACCGTCTCACCAGGGCTCATGAAAACAACCTGCATCAGTGTTTTTTGACGTATTTTGTTCTCTGCCTTCACAAATCTAGACTCACTTTAAAAGCAAACGCTCTAGTGTTTTAACATTTACTAGAAAGACTTGTAGGAGTCCTGGTGTAGCGGTTCAAACCCACCAATCACTGCTTGGAAACCCAACAGAGGGTCGGTATGAAGCACTTAACACCAACAACAGAAATACTTTGGTGGTATTCCAGCTGAGCACTGAGCTATTAACCTGAAGGTTGGCAGTTGGAACCCACGCAGCAGCTGTGCAGGAGCAAGACCTGGTGCTCTGTTTCCATCAATATTACTGCCAGGAGAGCCCTGCGGGGCCGTTCTTTTCAGTCCCACGGCGTCGCTGTGAGTCCAAATAGGATAGACTCGGTGGCCCACAGCAGAAATACCTTTCCCCTTTCTAAGTGTTTCTGTATCCAAGTGCCTTCATTGACCTAGCTCCCATTTTTCTGCTGTTGAAATGATGATGCAAGAAGAGTGCTGTTAATGTTGGCTGGTTGCCAGCATGTGCGCGCTTTAAATAAAAGCGCTTCTATGGACGGAACTGACAGAACTGATGTCGGGCTCAGGGGGGTGGCGTTGGCGTCTCTGTGTGTTCCAGGTATTGGTGGGAGTGCTGTGTGGGCAGATGATGATTGATCCCAAGTGTTGAGGAGCCACCATTTAGTTCATCCACGTGGTTTATTCACTCCCTAGGCTTTGTGACAGATCCAAAGGTGAGGTAGGTGGCTTCTACCCCAAGCTGCTCATGGCTCCATGGGACTCTGCTCGGTGGTTAGTGGACTTTTATGGGCTAAGTCAGGGCTTTTCTGCTTAAGAGAAATATTTATAAATGTTGTTGTTATTAAGTGCTGTCGAGTTGGTTCCGACTCATAGCGACCCAGTATAGGGTTTCTGAGGAGCGTCTGGTGGGTGTGAACTGCCAGCCTTGCAGTTCAAACTGACCTTGTGTAGATTTTAACTTTAAAAGTTAGTTTTTCTGAAGCGTCTATACTCAATGAAAAAAAAAAAAGGCTAGCATGTGCATTATTCTAAACCATGTTGTTGTGAAGTGTTGTGAAGTCCCATCGAGGCAATTCCGACCCATAGTGACACTGTATAGGGTTTCCGAGGAGCAGCTGGTGAGCTTGAACCACTCGCCGACTTTGCAGTTCAAACGGCTTTGCAGTCTGACATATTAACCCACAGCGCCACCAAGATTCCATTCTGAATCAGACGTCTGATTTATGACATCTATGATACATGTATGAACGCATTTCATCCTCACAGAACCCTTATGAGGAGGTGTTATTGCTCTTCTTCCTCCCCCCCCCCCTTTTTTTACCAGGGAGGCAGTTGAGGCTAGGTCAGACCCCTCAGGCAGACTGACTCTTGTTACTACGGTACGCCATCGAGTCATTTCTGCCTCATAGGGACCCTGCAGGTCAGGGTAGGACTGACCATAGCATCTCCACGGGGGCAGAGTGCCACAGCTCTCTCCCCCGGAGCTGCTGGTGGAGAAACTGCTGACCTTTCAGTTAGTAGGTAAGTACCTGATCACTGCACCACCAGAGTTGACTCCAGCCTGTCACAGGAGTGTTCTGTCTAAAAGTTCAAACAGCTGCTATTCCTTTTCCGTGATTAGTAGTCAGTGTGGTCGTGATTTTTGATTGCTCAAAGTCCCCAACGTTGAAGACCATTTACATAGTTCGCTAATTTTCAAACTACACAGTAAAACCTCTGAAAGCTGGAACATGTGTAAGTCAGAAACCTGTCAGAAAAGACAAGCTCAATATTTATTTCCCACTAAGCCAAGTAGACATGCTCTAAAAGAATCACTTCGAGTTCTTCAGACAAAAGAGAAATGATCTATAAGGAATCAGGACTGAAGGGAGCGTAATGACGAATATGTGGGTATAGACTATTCTCTTCTTGGGTTCTTTAAAATATGTTTGATGGTAAAAATGATAGCTTTGTTGGATTGGATTCTCAGGGTGTATAGATGTAATACATAAGAGGGCTTTAGTGCAAGAGAGCAGGCTAGAAAGTAAATGAAATGTCTATAAATCCTAGAAAGCTCTCTGGAGCAGACTGACTTTGGGTTTGTGGAGTCCCGTGAGTCAGAATCTGTATGTCAGCAACTAATAACAACAGCCACTTAGCAAACGGTACATGGAGTTACTGTCAAAGGCACTGTTAAAAAGACGCAACGCTATAGACACACAAAAATGGTACCCTAAAAAATATCTAAGCAACCCACAGGAAATCAGGAAAGGGGAAACAGTAAACACAGTATAGGAAGAATAATAGAAAACAAACAAACGGATACGTCGAAACCAATCATTGCATTAAATGCAAATGATTAAACGTATTAATTAAAGACAAATTGTTAGGATAGTTAAACTCATGAACCAACTATATGTCTATCAGAAACGCAATTCAAATATAATGATATTATGTTGTTGTTGTTAAGTGCCATCAAGTTGATTCTGACTCATAGCAACCCTGTGTAGGGTTTCCTAGGAGCAGCTGGTGGGTTTGAACTGCCAGCCTTATGGTTCACAGTCTAGTGCTGATCCTACAGTGCCACACCAGGAGTCTAATGATAGTGATATAGATAGGTTAAAAGTAAAAGGATTGAAAAGCTATACCATTAAAGAGCAATCCAAAGAAAATTGGAGTGGCTAAGATTGATGTTTTATCAGATATTAATATCAGAGTACTCTTTTCAGCAAAAAAGAACAAGGATCATTAGAAGGCTTGGTGTGGTACTGTAGGATAAGCATTGGACTGCTAGTCATTCAAGCCCACCTATCATTCCTTGGAAACCCTATACAGGGTCGCTATGAGTTGGAACCCAAAGGCACTAAACAACAACAACTGTTGTTGAGTTGGTTCTGACTCAGCGACTCTGTATAGAGTTTCCAAGTTGACCTTGAATTAACTTTGAATAAGTTCAGTGCGTATCCTATAATGCCACACCAGGACTCCATGAAAGGCGTTGTTGTTGTTAAGTACTGTGGAGTCAATTTTGACTCATAGCAACCCTGTTGTATACGGTTTCTAAGGCTTTTACATCTCTTGTAGGAGCTGAAAATGTCATCTTTTCTCCCACGGAGTGACTGATGGATCCAAACCACTGACCTATGGTCCACAGTCCAGTGCTCATTCTGTGAAGCCACTGCACTCCCCCGAGAGACGTTGTTGTTAAGTGCCATTGAGTCGGTTCCAACCCATAATGACCCTGCATAGAGTTTCTGAGGAGCAGCTGGTGAGCTTGAACCACCGACTTTGTGGTTCAAACAACTTTGCAGTCCAGCGCCACGTACATAATGATACAAGAATCAATTCACTGAGAAAGCATAACAATCCTAAATGAGTATGCCCCTCCCAAAAGAACTTCACAGTGAATGAAACCAAAAGTAAGGAACTAAAAGGATACTCACTGAGTTAATAGACAAATGGATAGAAATTAACAAGGATGTAGAAGACCTGACCAGCACTATGAACCAACTTGACTGAGTTTACATCTAGAACCCACAACACCAGCAACAGCTGAACACACATACTCTTGAAGTGCTCATGGCCCTTCACCAAGAATGACTCTAGCCGGGCTCATAAAACAAATGTAAAATAAGATCAGAATGCCCCAGCTCTTGTGCTTCACTTCCTTTTATTTATTTATATTTTAATTTAGCAGTTGAACTATATATTAAATATTGTGCATGAGTCCTTTTAAAACTTTTTATTGTGAATTGGATGAAGGTTTACACAAATCACTTTTCTCTCCAATGAGTCACACACATTTTGCTTCCTGTCACTGATTGCGATCCCCACAGTGTAAGCTCATTTATGCAACATTCCTCCTCCTTTGCCAAACTTGGACAGATCCTGCCCTTTTGCTCTCAGGTGGTTGATTTTTCTAAGGCATAGTGTATACCTCCTTAATGTTGTTCTCCTTGTAGGCTGTCTGTTGGTTGGCTGAAAATTGGGCCACGTGGAAGAGTTCAGTTCAGGCCTAAAGGGTGACGAAGGGTCATTCAGAGGTCTTTCATTTTCTTCATTTTTCTTTGCTCCAGATGGGGAGGGACCAATAATTGCACCTTATGTGTATAAATCTTAACCTTGATAGATTTTTTTTGTGTACACACCTGTGAAATCACCCAGATTAAAATATAGAGCATGTGGTGTAAGCATGGATTGCAAAATTGGTTTGAAGCACAGGTTGGTGATTCAGACTTATCAGCCACTCCTCGGAAACCTATACAGGTTCGCTGTGAGTCAGTACTGACTTTGCGGCACTTGACAACCACAACATGCACACCTGTGCGATCCCCGAGATTAGAATATAGGAGGTTTCCAGCACTTGGACTGTTGCATACCACCTCCCAGTCAGTATCCCTCCTTGAGATAACCACTATTTTGACTTCTAAGAGTATATTACAGTTTTGCTAGCCTCTTGAGTTTTCATTCACTATTGAGTAGCCTCCAACAATAAGATGGAGGTGTAGACATGAGATCTGAGTCCCTAATTCAGGTGCACTTACAGCCCATTTCTCTTTTAGAAAACACGCATGTCATTTGACTTTGGTGTTTTGTTCTGCCCTTTTGTGCTGCTGGTTAATGCACTGGACTGCAAAGTCGGTTTGAATTGCACGATTGGCGGTTTGAGCTCACCAGCTGCTCCTTGGAAACACTATACAGGGTCACTGTGGATTAGAACCAACTCAATGGCACTGAACAACAACACTATAAAGATTTTTAGAAGATTTTAGCCGCTAATCAAACTCATAAAAGGAGAATTGAAAGAACTAAGCGTTTGGCTCTCCTTGGATGGAACTGAAAATTACATCTGGCTGAGAGTT